ATAAGGATCACTGGATCACTTCGATCTCTTTTCAGTGAACTGAGGATTTATGTTCGGTGCTATTGCCTTTCAAATTCGCCAGTGAAGAACTGTCAGCCGATAAAAAAGCAACTCTTATATCTTATTTTGTTTTTTTCTCAAGAGCTTCAAAGTGAGTCACCCCCTTTTCCTTTTGAACAACTTTAATTAACAAATCGATCATAATTAATGCGTTTCTTTCCTAGGATATTTGTGCATCCGATAAGAATGACTTTGGTGAAATTTCCAAACTAAAAAAGGCATTTTATCCAAGCTTGATGAGAAAGTCTGGCTCTCGGAATTACATTACATCGCAACATTTTTTCATCCAATCATAAAGTTTTTATCGCTGAGTCATCTTCTCTTGATTTGCTATATAAAGATCAATCTATTTTCTTTCACTTAGTCTCTTTCATCTGCCGAACGAAAAGAAGTATTCGAAGGTGTTCGTCGAATGTGTTCAACCTTAGGTAGCAATGAGGAAGTTGGTCAAGAGCAAAATCGTTCGCCAATTTCAACAGATCGTCCCACGTTGATCAAAAGAAAAACAAAGAAGATGAAGAAAATGCGCACTATGTTTAATATATAACCATTGTTCTTCAATCCTACGATGATATTGATGAAGTCATGGAACATTTTAAAATGAAATTAACGATCGGCGAAAATATCGATCTGTAATTTTTCCCAGGTAGATTTTTTAACGAGATAACAGTTTGGTATTTCTTTGCTTAGTTAAAGTGCGTAACTGCATGTTCTGTTTTCTCTCATTAGTTTTATATGCATAACTCTCTCTTAAGCATAACATTTTTTATGTGCATTCCCTTTCTCGTCTTTTATCTCTTTTATCTACTTTCTATTTTAAATTTTAACCTTTTTCTTTGTAAGTTCATCACTATAGCGTATAGAATTGTCTTACTCTCGCTCAATGTTTGTTTTTATGCCAAGTAACTATGCTTGATTTCTTGTACGCAATCATCTTAATATTACAAAAAGTCGTGAGCGCTTTCAAGCGAAACGACGTTAGGAAATAAATCGAAGCATAAACAAAAAAAATTTTCTTCGCTTAGTTAATTTCTACGGTGACTTTATGAAGAGCATTTGTTTCGTTTTTAGACTTTGTCGTCTTGCTCTCGCTCTTCTCTGCGTCTTCGCAAGTTCGGCTGCATCAGAGAGAGTGTTTTTGGAAACCGGTCGCCTGTTAGAAGCTCGAAGACAACAATTGTCACGGAACTCAGAAGATTTTCTTGTCTTTATGAGAAACTGGTCGAAGTAGACTTTCACAGTTTGTATCTTTCTGTATTTATTTTTAATCAGTCTTGTTCTTACTCTCACTCATTTGTGATTTTATATATCCAAGAGATTTCTTCTTGATATCTTTTCTGTTTATGATCTGGTGTATTTATGATCTTCTTTACTTATGACATTACTATTAGTGATCCTTTATTCTTATGAATTGATCTTTTGGTGATTTTCTTACTTCTGATGTTGCTATTAATGATCGTTTTTGTTTTGTGATTTGGTCTATTTATTGTCTGATTTGCTTGCATACTGATGTGAGGTGCACCCAATGCGAAGTTACAGTGCATCGCTTTTTCGGCTCGCTCATACACGTCCGGGTGTGGTTTTTGACGCGGATCACGAATCTGATCTTATTTTTTCATTTCGACCAAGTTTTTAAAGAGAAAAGTGCGTGACAACTAGAAGGTGTCTATATGCATAATTAATTGTATTTCGTAAAAGGCCAGCGTTCTGCTTGTTAGCATTCCTCTTTTTGCTCTGGCCGTCATCATTTTCAGATTCCTCACCAAAAATTGACTTTAGAAAAGTTGTCTAAGACTCTATCCTTTATTACGTGTTCAGTTTGAAAATCAGTGGCATCTCCTATCCTTCATGATGCTACTCTTTACTGTTGCAACCCTATCTAGTTTTTCATCAAAAGACTTTTGGGTTTGATTCATATATCATTCAAACCGCCTTTCGGCGGGCTACAAAACTATGTATCGCTTTCCCCTATTTTCTGCTTCTACACGAAAAATCCTTGGCTTGACCTTTGAAATTCGTTATTCAAAGGGTACCAGATTTTCGAGTAGAGGTCATGGTCTAGTCGAAATCTATTCAGTGAAAGTTCAAATGGGCTAAAAATGATAGAGAACTCAGCAGAAGTGATTTCAGAACATACAGCGGAACTAATTCAGTCCAATGAATAAGTGTGTTGTTAAATATATGTGAACGTTAACGATAACAATGTTCAATACAAACAGCGCAGCAGAAAAAAAATTGACACATGAGATAAATGTTTATATTATTCAATGTTCGTATTTGTAATTCTACGATAGTTAATGATATCTTTTTTGCACAATCCACTAAAATACGATGTCAGCACCTCGAGATAGCTTTTACCCTGTCCATAAGCGTGGATCGTTCTCTAGAAACGACGAAAAAGTTTCATATGAACTTTTTTGTCAATAAAATGTTCTTTAGATTCGCGCAGAAGGGAAACCAAGCTTTGAAATGTTTGATAAGTCTTTTTTCTGATGTAAGTTTTCGAATGGCACCAATAACCATCGATAGGATTCATTTCGCAATGGAACTTGGGAACGAAAAGAATTTTGACGTGATAGTTGGCAGTCAATCTTTCCAAATTAGTGTCCTGTAAGTCGTGAATAAGGTAGAACGAGGAGCTAGTTTCTCTGGATAATATGAAAATTTGTATGGCACTTACAGGTTTGAGAGCTGGATGATCTGATAGCAACGATTTCAATTTGCTAGGACTGCGCTTGAGGGTGAGGGACGTTCAGTTCTTGTGCCAAAGTTAATAAGCCTTTGCTCTTCCGGTCCGTGCCATAGCATTCGATTGTTCGTTTTGCATCCTGCTGATCGATAAAATCAATGTGATCAACAGGACTCTGGTCACAGGTCTCATTCCAAAATCATGTAAGCTGAATTCGGTCTTCGTATGAGTCCGAGCGTTGTCAACAAGGCACACGAATTGGTGATTTTTGTTTTCCTGCTTGAAAGGCAATAACTGGAGGAGACGTTCGAATTGATTAAGAATGTTGTCATTGTCGAAATAGCAGTTACCACCGACGTGAATATTCGCTGTGGCACTGTTCCTTTCATAGAATATATCATCATTGGTGTTCAAATCAGGATATTTGTTCACTGCTTTCCGATATTCGTCTTCAGACAGTGAAAAAATGAACCACTTGGATGCATCACCAAAAACTCAGAACACATAATACTGCGACCTTTGCCTTTGTCATAAAAAGGTGCATTTTCCGATATGATCCATCTTTTTGCCATAGTTTCACCAGATTTATACGTACTTTCATGATGACCTGTAGACGGAACAAAAGCGAATATTAAACAACAGAGCATTTGAAGAATTAATTATGCAAGGACTCACACAATAAAATTGTTGTCTGGACAATTGGAGCCTGCCAATATGGAAAATCATCTGTTATTGAATAAAATTTATTCTTTTCCTCAAGAAAATACCTAACAAATGGGTCCAGTACACTTTGCCGACAATGATTTTACTGACAATCACTTTACCGACAACGACTTTACCGACAATCACTTTGCCGACAATTACGTATTTACTAACAACTTCTTTTGTCAGCATAATATTTAGAGTATCAGCCTAAATCATACATTATAGTAAACTTCGCCACGGTTATCGTCACCCTCATATGCACCAGAGAACTGTGAGTCCATTTTTTCGGATCCAGATCCGGCACCACAGACTTCTCATCAAGAGATATCATACTCTGTGTATAAAGAAACGTAAAAGAATAAGATCATGCCTAGTTTTTATTAGTCATCACTGGGAAGACCTACATATTTATGCGTGTTTCACTAGTAGAAGGTTGCAAGTTTATATTTTTTAGACCAGGACGCGCCTGAATCCATAGGAAAGGAAAAAGGTTGGGGCCAGTCCTGATCGAGGTGCGGTTGACCCGCTACTCTCTAACCCAGACCTCACTCTCATCTTCACCTACACTCACACCTATACCTATACGCACACCTACGCCCACACTTATACACTTGCTCTCACTCACACATGTATTTTCATTCTTATGCTTAACCTCCACCTACTCCCCACCTATACTTTCATGTTTATCCGTGATTTTCATCCTCACCCACCCCTACCCGTATCTTCGCCCCAACCCTTACCTATACCCTCGTCCTTACCATTACATATACTCTCATTTTCACTCTCATCCACACTCTCAAAACAATGATGAGAAAATAATTTGTTCGTAAAATTTTAATTGCCGACAAAATGATTTTCGGCAAACAGTACCCGTCGGCAAAATGGCGTCGGTAAAGTGGTTGTCGACAATAGGGATGTAACGGTGGCTGATCTTCAGATAGGCCGGTGAGAGCTTGAAAAGCTACTGTGGGAACCAGTTTTCTTACCGCTCTATAGAAATTGGTGTTAAATGAGCCAGATAATAGTATGACACCGGTCAACAGAATCGTTGTCCGGTGTACCTACCGATATTTCAGCCAGTTGATATGAGGATTCAATGATAAAAGATATAGTGAAGCCAGTGGGTATATGAATAACCCACAATGTCGAACGACGTCACCCTATTATGTGATTCACGTAACGCCAATTTCTATAGATCAGTAAGAAAACCGGTCCATACCGTAGCTTTTCAAGCTCTCACCGGCCTATCCGAAAATCAACCACCGTTACATCCCTAGTCGGAAAAGCGAATACGACCCATTCGGACGATCTTTGTCGTCAGCAGATAATCTATGCAGCAAACGGTGGAAGTAGATTATAGTTTCGACGTAATCACCAGATATTTCAGCTACAAACGATATTATGTCCGACACTGTCAGCATTCAACGTTTGGCTTGGAATGATTCGCGATGTATTGCACTAAGAATGACTATAGCAGAAAAGGAAAAGTCAAAGAAATATCGGTTCTTATCATTTAAAAAGATATGAATACAGATACTCTTTTCCCCTACTTAATGCTCACTTTAAAATTTTGTAGATAACTAAACTGACCTCTGTATGAATGACTCCAAACGAATGCACCAAGTTCATATCGCACATGTCGAAGCGACTTTTGTCGTTGATTAAATGTACTAAACAGCCCATCGTCGGATTCTTCGATTTCACTGATTAATCGTTGTAGTTGAGAATAGACTGCCTCGTGATTGTCTAGTATTCCAGTCAATTTATCTATGGTTTTATAAGAAGTTTTAAACGAATTAGCCTCAATAGTACCTGTGACTTTGTTGGCAATACGTAAAACGAGGAAAATTGATTGTACAGATCGATACTGAAATATTCGCGAAACGTCGATAGCATCAGTAGAGGGTGTATGAAGATCGATCTGTTTGTCATCGGCGACAATAACTAGTATTATGGTTTCGTACGATTGTGCTCTCTTCAAATATTTAATACATTTTGATCCCGTTGCATAGCGACTGATGAAACAGTTTTTGAGAGCACTTAGACGGGTAACTGTTTCATCACTTTCATGAGAAGACCACAATTCAGAATCTTCAAACCAAATGAGAGTAATACCACTGCGCGTACTGACGATAATCGACGTAATGGAATATTTTCGACTCTTGGACTGGTGGACGGACAATTCGTCGCCAAAATAATTAATTAGAGGATGTTAATCATGTATGTAAGACAGATGAGTTTCTATACAAAGTCGTCTCGTAATTGATACTGATTGGATTTATTGAAAGAAAATACAACACAGAAGAAATACAAAAAATATCTACAACAACATATTTNNATCTTTTCAGAATACTTTTAGAGAATTGGTTTTTGCCATCAACAGATAACACAATCATTCACCTAGCAATAGTTTATTCATTAATTGAAGTACAAATTCAGTCAATCCAATTAAGAAAAATACAAATTCTTGTATAATAATTAGTTGGCGACGAATTGTCCTAGTGCCCTTGGACTATCAGATTAAGGCATGAATTTTTATTTTTGTTCCGGTTCTCTTCTTATTCATCTGAAGAACGAATTTAATTTCGTACCATGAAGTCTACAAGCCTAATATTTAAATAACATCCCATATATTAATCAGTTTCAGGCGTTGCAAAAAAGATAAAATCTTCTAAAGGCCACGATATTCTCTTTTACTTTCATTCAAATTGAGAGAATAAAAGAAAAATAAAGGGCATTCAGTATTGAGAGCGAAGGTCACGAAATAGAATGTTTTTTCATTTCTTCGCTCTACGACTGCTAACAAATATTCATATTTTTCGTTTCTGACTCATCTTATTTTTTATGATTCCCTGTGGGTACTTCGACTTTATTGGGTCGGCAACTAACTTCTTACGCTTTTCTAAGTGTTCTAAAACATTCGAGAAATTTGAGTGCTTTTACTTTATGAATTCCGTCTGGGTCACAAAGCAACGGAAGCAACCATCAATATATGCCGCGCGATGAGTGAGCATGTACTCTCTATTTGTACGACAGAATATTGGTTGAATCGCTTTAAGAACGGTAGCTTAGAGCTCGACGATTTACCACGGCCCGGTAGACTACGGGAATTGGATGTGGATCTCTTACAGCAGCTTATCAAACAAGACCCTCGATTGACTTCACGGTGTTTAGTAGAGCAGCGTGGGTGCTCTCATACGGCAGTGGAAAAACATCCGAATGAATGAGGCAAAACATGAACATATGGAGTTTGAATACCCCATGAGTTATCACCACATGAGCTTCAACGGAGAGTAGATACTTGTATGGATTTAATGATATTTCACCGCAACTATCAATAGTTCTACAATTTTATCACTGGTGATGAGACGTGTGGATTGTATATTAACCACATGCACGGACACCAGTGACTAAGTCCTGGTCAAGCAGGTATAGCAACAGGCTGATCTACACCGAAAGAAGATGATGCTGAGTGTTTGGTGGGTGTCAATGGAACTATTCACTGGAAAGTTCTTCCAAATGGTTGTGCCATCACTGCTGATCTCTACTGTCAACAATTGAATCGGGTTGCCGAAAAACTCAGGGAAAGGTAGGATCGCGTTTATTATTTGCATGGCAATGCTGGGTTCTGTGCTGCAAAGTCGACCTGCGAAAAATTATTGAACCTCGAATGGATTACCATTCCTCATTCGCTTTATTCTATTTGTGTTAGAGCGTGAGCGACGAGCCATAGATAGTAGTGATGTATATATAACTGAAAGCTGGTTGTAGTGTTGACGTTAAACAATAGCAATAAAAATAAAACTCTTGAAAAACCGGAAAACTTAGTTGCCAACCTAATATATGGTTCAAGGAGGTATTTTTAGAGATAGCGCTTCAGTTTTGCTTTAACGTAAGGTATAGAGTTGTTTGAAGTCATTTGATAAAGACATATTTCTCAATTTTTCTGATACTTTCGTGATTATGGATAGTTTCTATGTATCGTCGAGTTAATCACAATAATTATAAAGATGTAAACAAAAAATTAAATCAACTTAAAAAAATATTATAATGCTATCTCAGAACCGGCTAAAAAGCATGAATTCTTACCTTCCAGGTGGTTACGATTATCGCATTAGATTCCAACATTAAATTCCAATAGTATTAAATAAGTGAAAACAGAAATGAGCCGCAAGCAGTGTACGCCGTTTTTTATCTTTTTTTCTTCGTCGTTTTTATTCTCATTTTTCTATACATGCGCTCCTGTCACGGCACATGTGCATTGTTATAGAAGCTGACGGCGATAGCTCTTCAAATTATTCTCGGTAATTGAAGGTAAAACAGATTAATTTATCTTTGTTTGAGAAGAAATTAATTCAATGTACGAAATTTCAGCTTTCCCGACGCGTTTCGTGTTTCTCTATTTTTGTAAAATAAATAAACACTTATCAGGATTCTACAGAACTAATGGACGCGCGAAAAAAAAGGAGGATGTGGGTGTGAGATTAGCTGTTGTGATCTAGATTCCACTTGTGAACCAATAAAATACCAAGACATATTTCAATTAGCTTTCACCATCTCATCAGTTGTTTTATCTGACTCAAGAATGAGAACTATATTCGAATGGTTTGCGGATTTTTCCCACTCATAGTTGAAAGCCATGGCCGCCATTTACATAATATTCAGTCGAGGGTAAGGCGAGTGATGTGCAACGAGTACTATTTATTTATATCAACAGCATTAACGGAATGACACCGTCTCCGTAATCTGGTAAAGGCTCATCATATATAGATGAAGGAGAATGTTTTTGAAAACCAGCCTTTCGATACAATCGGAGGGCTCGTTCATTATGAGATTCTGTCAAAAGAAAAATAAATGGACGCCGACGCTTTCGACACCATTTGATCATTTTTGTTAATATACGTGTTCCAATTCCAAAACCTTGTGCAGATTGAGAGACACCAAATAAAATCACATACAATCCACGATGTGAACCAATGTCACTAGCCAATGCACAGCCAAGACATTGATCATTTTCATATGCACACCAAATATGGGTGGCACTATCAATAGTTACACGTAAAGTTTCTTCTGTATGAGCTGGTTGAAATAATGGTAATAAAACGTTTTCTATATCATTTACTGGATAGTTTCGATCGCGGGAAATTCGTATTAGACGACCAGACAGTTGTTTTCCTTTTTCCGAAGATGATAGATCCATACTGTTGATTGCGTCGTTATATTCAGTTGTTTTCATTTATGTTGTGTGATAGATACACAAATCAGGAGAGCAATTTCTTTCCATATATTTCATTCATTGTAAATTACAGTCCATATTTCCACACTAGGCCAGAAACGTAGGTCTAATATAGGAAGAACGAAAGAAAAAAATATGACAATAATTATTCATTCGTGTACAGCACTGTGCAAAGTGTTGTCTGTAACGGTAATGTAACGGATGTCACAAAATGAAGGAACCTCTCAGTATTTTGTATATTTTTCATCCATAAGTCAAGAAAAAAATATTTTTTTCACAAAAAGATTCTCTGTCAAATTCTCTACAAAATGTGTATATTTTTGTTGTTTAAAGATTTTCCATTCCGATACAGAATAGCGTACAATGAATTTGTTCAAAAAGCGTAATTTTCAAACAAGAAGTTTTTAGTAGATCGTCTGAACAGAGATGAGACAAAAGAATGCAAAGTATTTAGAAAACTTTCTTTTTAGATGAGACTTTTTGTAGCGCGTGTTCTGCTGATTATTTTGCTGAAAAAACATTCTGGACTTCATTTACCAATAGCAGTGTAATAGTAAAGATACTAAGCAATATTGAAATGATATTTCTTCTTACCAGTAAGCTCACGAAGTCGGTGGACCTATTTCCAAAGGACTATATTGTGGCGATATATAAGACGGTCTATTTTATAGAGGAAAGCTTGCTCAACAAAACGGTGTAGTTGAATTCTCATATGCATTTGAATACTATGAATGAAGTCCAACAGATTGTTGCAAAGAATATTTGTCCTGAAAACTGGATAATATTTTTTTCCTATGAATATAATACACGAAATCTTTTAAAGATTTATACAACCGATTTATGAATCCAATTATACCATGTTATAGAGCAAGCTCAGTTCTACCAAATCTACTAACCAGGCAAGTACCGAAGTGTTCACTTGCTTTACGGCTCATATTTTGACCACAAACAGATCTCGAGGGGACAAGTAGAAAGCCAAAAGGATTTGGGTCCAAGGCTTTGTGGTCAAAAGCTATAGCCACCTCACCATCGACACGAAATATGTGATCAAGAATCTGAAAAGTTTTACTGAAAATTGTTTTGTTTGGGTAGTCACTCTTTTGTAGTGACTACAGTAGCCTACGATAACCAATAGGCAGCGTGCTTCCAAGGTGTGTTTATTTTATGAACGCCAGGCCTCGACTTCGAAAAACTTTCTAATATACTTCATCTCGGATCTTTTAGCTATTCAAACACAATGAAAGATATTGAACGAAATATCACTGATGAAAATGTTATTCTACAAAAAAATGGTTCAAGCATAAGCTCTACTCGCACCAACTGCAACGAATAAAATAGGGTTGGTTACAGTTCGTGATCTGGCAAGAGACCGTGCGCTTGTTAAAAGACAAAACAAAAATTCCTAAAAATATGAACGTTTTAATTTATTGGAATGATAACAAATTATTATATCCAACTTTATATCAAATAGCAAAGCGTGTTTTATCAATACCAGCAACAAACACATCAATCGAAAGGCTTTTTTCAGATAGTGGAAATACAATTACCAATCGTCGTACACGTTTACAAACAAGTAAAGTAAACCAATTATTATTCATTCGCCGAAATGTATCATTATTAAGAGAATTATTTCCACCATCTATTGAACAAGTGAAAAAGAGAAAAAATAGTAGTACATCAGTTACACCGATGAAAAGAAGAAAATATTCAATAGATAAACATGTCGATATTGATTTATCACAAGAATATGATGATATGGATGCACCTGAAGAAGATTATATTGATGATGTGTCATTTGAACATGGGATTAATCGAATGTCACAAGAAGATGATGCGGATCATGAATTCCAATATAATCTTGATGATAATTTAGATGGCAATTATGAAGAAGGAAGTTATGTGATCAATGATTGAATTACGACATAGTTAACAATAAAACAATAGTCTAATTTTGCTCTTACACATTTTTCTTATTTTTCTGTTAATTATGTGATTAAGAAAATTTATAAAAAAAAATATTCATCAGACGGAAAGAATTTAGGGAACGTTTATTTTTTTGGTTCGTTCCCATTCTCTAAATCCAAATGGGAATTCCCATTCCCTAGGGAATGGGAATGGGAAAATTAGGGAAAATTTTCGTTCCCGCAGGACACTACTTTTTACTCTTATTCTGGTTGTCAAAAGCTGCGAATTTGATAACCGGATACCGACAATAAAGTCGAAGTAAAAGTATGATCATGATCTAAATGTCGATGATGAGACTTCACTGCATCCGCTAAATATGTTGTATTCATATTGTAATTCCGAAAGATAAATGTACCAGTGATTGATCTTGCATTTTTCAAACTCAGAGACCATGTTGTCACAGTGACGACACCAGGTGATACTGATGCAAGATATCCAAAATCATAATCTATGAGTTGAACATCGTGATTTTCCTGACATTCCCATTTTCCATGTGAAGCACTGTAAGGCTGAAGTGGATTATCTTGTTGATCACTACCAGTCCATGTATAACTGGAATCTGACCTCAGCGTCATAATTACGTATGTTACCGGAGTGATACTAAGAGTTGGATAATAAATACCGGCTAAATCCGAATAACATGTTGGATTCTGCTTACAACTACAGCCGAAATTCGATTCGGCTTTTGCAAATTGACTGTCAACGTTGAAATTAATGGACACTACCAAGCAGATAACGGACAAAAAGCGGAACATGATCCCCAATCGTTTTTAATACCACTAAGTCGAAGTGAACGAAAGACTTCAAAACGAGTAGATGAGTTTTAGTAATTTATTTGTCTTCTATAGAAGCGAATAGAACAAGAATATAATTTATGCAGAAATAAAATTCATTTCTCAAACTCAATATTTGCTATTCATTCGATAATTAAAAAAAACATTCTGATTCCAACTAGAACTTTTTATGGTAAGAAAAAGAAAATAATTGCAAAAGTTTACTATAATTCTCTCTTCTGACAGAAACGAAAAGTGTTGCATATCACGCTGGCCGCAGTACGTGTGAATATTTGGCATCTCGATGGGGAAATAGTCAATATTCGTCATTTCGATATCCCCTCTGCAAATCACCCACGATCTTATCCTAAGAAATTATTTACTAATAGCCTCTCGTTTGAATGCTGTGTTCTTCGAGAAAATCGTCGCATCGTATCTCACAAAATAATGAAAGATATTCAAGATATTAAAAACAGCTGTTGTTTTTTGTACTCACAAGAGATTGAACTGGCATCTCTGATCACGGAATTGTCTCATCAGTGTCTTGCTTGAGCTGAAAAAATGTCGCTGATTGGAGTAGTCTTTCCTGGCTCATTCAAAAAAAGTGATGACACTTTACTTCGGCTTTATTATGAGTATTATTTCGTACACTATGCGCGCAACACATAATTTCGGGATAAAATTGGAAGTTGCCGCACTTATTTTTGAGAATTTCACGAGAAATTCTTCTATAAAAAGCATTTTTCTAAAGCCGACTTATAGGTGACAAGTATGTCAAATATTGGAAGACTTGCTCGGTATAAAATATCGTATTTAGCTATCAAAATTTTATCTCTGTTTTTAATATCTGTGGGTAAATATTAGTAATCAAAGGTAAAACAAAACATGTTTCCCACACTTTCGAATGTGTTCTATAAACTAGTAGCAACAAATTCTTAAACTTTTTAATTCAACCTTTGGATCTATGGACTGACGGGTTTCAACCAGTACACAGTGTTTCTCCCCAATAACGGCAGCAAAATGAAACCTTGTTTTATTTTTATCCGCGTTCATCTATTTTACGATCGGTTTCAAACAGCTTCATATATGGCGAATCTTCTGATAACGTTCGTTCAAATGGTGTATTTTCCATTCCTTTGTTCATATGCTTTCGAAGAGAAATCATCAGTCTCCGATCATGATGCCCTGTTGCCATTTCTACGTACTATTTTCTCACCTTAATAACGATACTTGAGCAAAATTAATGCTGAATATTATGTGTTTTTGTCCCCTTCAGCAATAATGGTGTGTCTAAGACCTGGTGCTGCCATACCATCATTATTTTTTTTCCGGACCACCAAGAAGCAGCTTCTTGTCAGGTATACCATCTGTTCATTATATTGTTGTGAAGGTGACTTAAGAATAAACCTCGATTAATTAGTAATGTCTCTTGAGTAGTATAGCTAATCTAATAATTGATTTTTATCTAATAGAATTCGATAAGATCACAACACTAGTTTTTTACTCTCTCTGTGTAATGGTCCAGTAAAGAAATGATAATCCGTTTCAGGAACAGCGCTTACAAATGGAAATTCCTATCTGAAAGATGAGGCTTATTCTTACAAGAGCTAAAATGTGATATACTACGTTTAGTCTTCTTTCAATTCATATCGTATAGAAAACCTGGATCTGCTTTTCTCAGTTCGCTATAGCGCGACCTCTGTTTTGAAAATTGCTTTGAAGCCCGGTGAGTACGTCGAGACTTCATCGCCCATAAAAACAGACTTTTAATTACGATACAATCGTGGAAACAGCGAAAGTTGTATTAGATTCTTTTCTGAAACATTTGATTCAAGATAATTTCAACAAAAGAGAGATTTCTTGGGCATGAAACAATCGTTATTTTCCTTAAAGTCGTGATTTATCACCAAACCATGGAGATTGCGAGAGGATGGAAATAGTACAAGCTCCATTCCTGTTAATAATGAAAAACAAAAACTTGAAAGACTAAAGATTGATACTCAATCATTCAGTGATATGGTAGATTTCAAAAATTTTGTAAGGCATTGCCATACCACTGCCCAAATTGTGGCTACGCCACTACTCAACAAATGATTTCCCACTTAGGTTGACATCTAGCGCTGAACCTTTCAAGAATGAGGGATTCCGTTGATGTTTACTTCGGGTAAAAACTTCAGCCAGATCGGTCGTACTATATCAGATTTACAGCCCATGTGAAGGCCACTTTTGATCTTCACGACAACTGCTGAAACTCGGTTATCCTACTACTGTTCGTTTCAAAAAATAACGCGCGTGGGTATTTTTGAAAAAACTTTCGATAGAAACAAGGTAGACAGTGGTAAGTTTCACCGCTGGAAATAGGCGGAGTCAAACCATTGATGCTTGTAGACTTGTTGAGATTTATCTCTTAAGTCACTAGTAGTCCGCAGCTACTTTAGACGAGATGAATTATTATATGAATATAGGGCAAATATTTAACTTTAATAGATAGTTAAGAGTCGTAAGCTCAGGTGCTGTAAAACTATAAACAGGGCTTTATTCAAAACTTTATTTTTTCGAAAGTTCTGGGTTACATACGCATACAACTGGAGTCGATCTTCAAGATTTACTTAAGCGTTGGCCTCAGTTTTCACGTATAAATCATCAAAAGCGCTTGTTTTTCTGCTCATAAGTATTAAAATGCACACTTTTAATCGCGTAAAACAGTACTTATCTACCTGTTTTTTTTTTAATTTATCCTCATTAACCAGTCGTATACCGCATTCTCATGAAAATGCTATGGAAAAGTCATTGTATCTGATGTTTTCAAGTGGGGAAATGGAAGACTTTAGCACTCCACATAGGCGCAAAGTTTTTGAAGTCTCAAAAAGACGCTTCCGAGATTTAAGACCCTTGGTTTCATTGCGTCGAATGAATTATGCGTCCTTTCTAAATTGACCAGTATATGGACCTATCTATATTTGGAGCGAGAAAAAAAGAAAGAGGAAAGAATTTTGGGAATGAATCCATCTGGAATAGCAGTATGTGATATTTACTCACTCATTTTTAAAATATTACATACTGCTATTCTAGATGGATTTATTACAAGTTTACGACGTAAGTATAACGTTGTTATTTTTAAATCAATACGAGAAATAGAGAAAACAGTCCTAAAACTACAGAAATCCAAATGCGATCTTGAGTTCTTGCGTTTTTGTTTAATCTATAACTTAACTCCCAACTTTCTTAACATCAAACTATGGAAGAAAGAAATGAGAAACAAACCACAATACCAAACATACAAACGATATCTACTAGAAGAAGAATTCCGAAATAAAAATAGAGACATAATAAAACTAGAGAAAAACTATCAATTATTATTAAATCAAGTCGAGTCATGTATCAGTTTATCCGATTTTCAGCGAATAAAACAATACATCTACGAAAGAGTAACTAAAGAACAAGAGAAAATAAGAAAAGCTCATAAAAATAAACTCCAGAACTTGAGCAAAGTATCAATAGGGCAAAACTATGAGACTATGAGAAACAAACTTATTCATAATATCTCTTCATATACATTGACCCCAGCCGAAGAACGTTTACTATGTAGAGGATGGGATTTTTGTGTAAAACAAAAATTGACCAAAATTGAAGACTTTCAAACTGATATGGAAGTAAACATGACAAAGTTAGAAGCTCATTGTCATTCCTCAGTATTCTCAATAATATGTAGACACATACACAATTATTCCGATAGATTCATAAAGAAAGCTAGAAAAGATAACATTCGAAATATCAGTGACGAAGAATATGCAGCTATAAAATCTTTAAGAAACAATTCAAATCTCACTATTTGCCGGACCGATAGAGGCAACGCGGTAGTGGTTTTGAATAAAGAAGATTATATAGAAAAGATGAATAACATTTTAAAACTAAAACAATTTCGACATACACATACCTCGTTATTAGAAGAGAAAGAAAAGAAGATGAGTGAATACCTTAGAAAATTATATAAGAAAAAAGTCATAAGCAAAGAACTATTCTATCAAGTTAGATCGACATCATCTAACATTCCATGTATGTACGGACAGCCGAAGATACATAAACAAGGTTATCCTTTGAGACCAGTAATTTCATCCATAGGTAGTTACAATTATGAACTATCAAAATATTTAGCTTCCTTAATAAAGACAAATT